ATCCCTTGCTTTCTAATTTACAATGCATTTCTAGAGTAAAACCGATAGCAATGCATTTCTAGAGTAAAACCAATAGCAATGCATTTAATTAAAAAAAAAATGTCTATTATATCAGTAAGACTTGCATTAATTCATCTTTAATGACAATCCCTTTTCTTTTTGAGTTTCAATGCCTTTCTGTACAAGAATTATTAGCAATACATTTACATTATACACATAAGAGTCTTATTATGTCAGTAATATTTGCATCAATTCCTGACTATTGAAAATCCCTTTAGCAGCAATGACTGTGGGAAGGGATAAGAAAAGATTCATATTTACTGGGTCATTTGAGGAAACTTCAACTGAAATAGGAACCATTAGATTATTAATTTAATAAAGTGAGTTTGTACTGAATATATTGGATTCGTTTTGAATCAGGAAAAGATTGAAATCATTTTATTTATTTTTTTTTTTTTTAATTCTTGAATATTTTCAAACTGTAAATAAAATCTTAATTTCTAGCAGTCATTATTTTCAATTTTGATTTCCATCTTAATTTTTCTTTAGTTGATTCTGATCACAGTTAATATTATTTCTAATTAAAAAAAATAAGGCAATCTTTAACCTTTGTGCCCATAAAAAACACTGTTCATCTCGAGGTCCTAGACAAAATCCAGAGACGGATATGCAACGCGGTTGGTCCTGATCTGGCATCCTGTCTGCAGTCGCTATCTCACAGACATACTGTAGCTTCCCTCTGTCTTTTCTACAAGTACTTTCATGACAACTGCTCCGATGAGCTACTTTTACTGGTTCTCAAATTGCATGAATCTAAGTGCACTACTAGGTTGGCAACATTTGATTTTTGCCATTTTTAATGTTTTGAGCACATCTATATTCAACTTACAGTTTTGTTTTTGTTGTTTTTTTTTTTTTTTTTTTCAGATAAAGTCATACAACTAATTTATTCTTACAACATTTTAAAACAGCTAAACAGATTGACACAGTGATCATCAGCTATGTATGATTGATTTGTACATGAATAATCTGGTCATTTTTTATAAGTAATTTGCTAGCAACACTGCCAACCAGTGTTGTTTTTTAAACTTAGGTCTGGATTTTTCAATTCCTGTCAATGTTGATTTTTAACTTTGAAAGTGTGTTGTTCAGTGACATACTTTCTGCGGTTAAGCAACTCCTGTCAACAGTGGCCTCATCTTCTGGCATTAAATGAGTTTTCTTGTCCTATGGACAGGTTCATTCCAAACTTAGAAACCGTCTTAGTACAAATGAAGCAGCAAAACTGGTTGTTCTATCTAAATTCATGAATGCAAGCACTCTTCATTTTAAAATTTTGTTAATCGTTAAATTTTATATTTATAATTAAAAAAAAATGTATTCAGTTGATTAATAAATATTTTATTCAATATGTTTAACACTCTTCTCCCTTCATAAATTTACACAAAAAACAAAAAAATGATTTATATTAAAAATATTTGCTTTAAATAATGATTTTTATAAAATTGATTTAAATCCATGATTTAAAATCACACAACCCTGAAATAGTGCAGTTTAGGCCTGTTAGGAACACTATCTTGGGTGGTCAGTAACAGATTGTAGGGATGCAAAAGATTACTTCCTTTTGGGAAAGATGAATTCAACTAAATCCGGCATAGACAAACTAAAATTATGATACACAACCAAACAAGAATTATACACACGAATGTTTTTTGACAAGACAAATACATGTTAGTGACAAACTCCAGTTGCTATGTAGATCATGGGAAAGCAAGATATGACTGGCCACGGCAGTTAAAAAAAAGCAGAGGAAATCATATGGTTTCACCAGGGTTCTTAGAGGACACCACCGGTCTGCACATTTTCCCATCAAGAAATATCACAAGACCCTCTCTATTTTTGCCTATTCATACTGCATGTTGTATTCATACACTATAATTTCTTTGTAGCAAACAAATAGACAGATTATATATATATATAATTCAATTGACCTCTCTAGGGAAAGGGGTTTTAAAAATTCAGCGGCTCCTACTGCTATTAAGCACTACTCTTCAAGTAAATTGAATTGAGTTCTTCAAGCAGCTGGTGTATTTTGTATAGAGAAAAACGTTAAAATTCCCTTCCTTTCTACCATGAAATGATGGTCTAGAGGTAAGATATCTGACTGATGTCAAATCAGTCTGGTTTCGATCCTGGCTTGAAGCAATCGGACGTTTAGCCACACTGAGGTGCTGTGATACAGTGAAACAGTCTATCTGTGGATGACTATATAAAATTCAATTTCTTGTATGACAGTGGTATAATATTCTCTGTAAGAACAATTCATGTTTGTCATTCTTTTCTTTCAGCTATTCTTTTCCACCCAATGATATTAATGATATACTAATGCCTATAATGGGGGAAATACAAACTGGAAATATTCTCCCTTTTCTAGTATGTCCAATTATGGTTATCTCAAGGATAGTTTTTTTTTTCCCCACCATTGATACCATAAAACCCAGACAGGCACCATCAAGTAACCTTTATTGCCTTGAAAGATGCCATAAAGTAGAATTACTTTGCACAGCACACCAACACTCTAAAGGGTCATGTGAAACAACCAGATATTCATTGTTATTTATTTTTGAAGATTTCTTGTGGGGGCAAAGGGCTGCAACCAGTCCAAATTAATTTTATGCTGATGTGTTACTAGCCCAACACCCAAGGAGTTTAAAAAAAAAAAAAAAAAAAATACTTTTTTTTTTAAAAACCTCTTCAGTGGTTATGGCTCTCCACAAATTCCTTTTCTTTATTATCTAGGAATTGCAAGGATTTGTCTACATTTCTTGTATTTTGTTTGAATTATAAACTTTAGATGTGTCATGATGGTATATATTTTTTCTGTCATATCACAGGATTAGGAATTTTGTGTTTATTTTTATTTTATTTTTTGTTAGGTGCCTTTGTTGTCAATAGTACCTACTATTTTGACTTGTGGACTTTGTATGCTTGTTTTCTAGCATTGAAGATAAAATGATGTTGATAGTGAAGAAGTCTAAATATTTTTTCAACATATTCTTCTTCATCTAGGTATTCTGGGCTACATATTTAAAATATGAAGTAATTTAATAGATATATAGATAATTTAATTTTTTGTTTTACCCAAACAAAAAAAAATTAAATTAATTATCTACTACAAAAAAATTTAAAACAGCTAACCTTATCCTCAAAAATAACAACACACCTGCAAAATTAAAACAACAAAGAACAAACATTATTTACGAGTTCAAATGCCCCTTAACTGTGTTCCTGATCAAACTGAAATCATAAATAATTACACTGGTCACAATACTATATACCTATCCAGACAACTTACATTACACCTATCTGACCACAGCTCCATCAGAACCCATTTAAACACACACACAATCTTACCAGACTCCATCCAAAATATACTAGTAGAAAATACAAGCATAATAACCTCATCCACATGTAAAAAAAAAAAATTAAAAACAATGGAAGCCTTAACAATAAAAAAAAGTGAACACTTAATAATATTAACTACAAACACACCCACAATGTGCTGTGTTCAAAAAACAAAACATCCCTATAACTCTAGAAACATACACACAGCTCATACATCCAGTTAAAAAGTAAAAAATGAAATCATCCTTGATAATGGCTAAAAGTATATAGCTGAAAGCACTTGAAATTACAGAAAATTTGCACACTTTCTGCACTCTGTGTCCAGAAAAGAAAACACTTGTTCGAACACAAGAAAAATTAAATGAAAAGCTTAATCACAGTACCTTGTCTGTCGTTTTTAATGAAATATATATGTGTGTGTGTGTGTGTTTTAAAATTAGGGTATATGATCCCGACAAAGTTTTAAAATACTAACAATTGGAAAATGTTCATGAATGTATATGGTTTTGAAATATATCTGATTATGCATTTCACCATTTAGGCTTCATCAGATCAAAAGTGGAAAAAAAAAGAGTTGCATGTGTATTTGTTTATGTTTAAATATATACATATATATATATATATATACACATTGAAATACACTAAATATCATTTCATATGCCATATTGTGCATATATATGCAATTGTAAAAACACACACACACTTGTATGTGTATATATATATATATATATATATATATATATATATATGAATGGATAAAGATAAAATGAAAACTTTTCTTTACTGACACATTTCCTCTTATGGACTTTATCAAGGCAAATGTACAGATTTTAATTTGCAATTTTTTAAGAATTTATTTATTAATGTAATTGATATATTTTATTTTAATTTAATAAATTATTTATGTATTTATATATTTTAAAAGAATGTTTTGATTTAACAATTTTCTTTTAATTTAAAAAAAAAATTTATGTATTTTGGCTGGTGAAAGCAGTATTTGTCAAGACAAAATAGATATATAAAAAAAGGGTTCCAGGTACTTTTACACACACCATATACATACATACATACATAAAATTGTAAAGTTTTATTTTTCACTAGACCAAGAACCCCCACTTCCCACACACAAATGAATAAATTCTGATGTTTAGTCAGATTTGGGGAAGTTAATTGGGCCAAGGACTTTTCAGCACCCCCTCACATGAACACATCCACAGCTATTGAGATAAATGCACACATATAGACACGCACAACCACTGGGAACAAAATATGTTAAATATGTCACTAAACTATGTGTGAATGCCTCTGTTCAAATGCACACTGCATTGTGCACATACACCCGTGCAACTGCACCCAGCCACCCTGGTTAGTGTACCTAATGAACATCTGACAGCAATTCTACATTCTTGCCAGGGACAGGTATTGCCATGTGCTGAAGGTAGGAAGAAATATGTGGCATTCACTCAGATGCACGTGCTGCAAAAATCTCAAACTCCCCTCTACCGCAACATCTTGCAGTTTGATGAAACTGAAAGAAAATGAAGGGTAGTTGAAGGTTTTTTTTTATGTTTTTCATTTCTTCCTCTTTTCGTTCATTAAGTACTTAAAGGGGTATGGGTTGACAAAGGAGACAAAAGAAAGAGAAATAAGAAAAAAAACAAAAAAAAAAGAAAGAAGAAGAAAGAAAAAGAAAGAAAGGAAAGAAAGAAAAGAAAGAAAAAAGAAAAAAGGAAAGAAAAGGAAAGAAAGAAAGGAAAGAAAGAAAGAAAGGAAAGAAAGAAAGAAAAAAGGAAAGAAAGAAAGAAAGGAAAGAAAGAAGGAAAGAAAGAAAGAAAAAAAAAAGGAAAGAAAGAAAGAAAGAAAGAAAAAAAAAGGAAAGAAAGGAAAGAAAAAAAAGAAAAGGAAAGGAAAGGAAGGAAAGAAAGAAGGAAAGAAAGAAAGAAAGAAAAGGGAAAGAAAGAAAGAAAAAGAAAGAAGGAAAGAGAAAAAGGAAAGAAGGAAAGAAAAAAAGAAAGAAGGAAAGAGAAAAAAAAGAAAGAAAGAAGGAAAGAAAGAAAGAAAAAAAAAAAGGAAAAAGGAAAAAAAGAAAGAAAAGGAAAGAAAAGAAAGAAAAACCAAGGAAAGAGTAAAGAAAAAGAAAGGAAAGAAGGAAAAAGAAAGAAAGGAAAGAGGAAAAGGAAAGGAAAAGAAAGAAAAAGAAAGAAAGAAAGAAAGGAAAGAGAAAAGAAAGAAAGGAAAGAGTAAAGAAAGATAGAAAGGAGAAAAGAGAAAAAGAAAGAAGAATGAAAATAAAAAATTGAAACAAATGGTGGCGAGAGAGAAAGAAAGTTCTTAAAAAAGAAAGAGTAAAGAGGGGAAAAAGAAAGGAAAAAAAAACTGAAAATAAAAAATTGAAACAAATGGTGGCTGAATCAAAAAAAAAAAAAAAAAAAAAAGAGTAGCTCAAAGTAAAAGGAGGAGATTAGTGCAATTTGGGAAAAAAAGAAACAAAAGTTTTTGTTATGAAAGAGAAAAAACTGGGAAGGAAAGAAAGGAAAGCGATTGAAGAAATTTGGAAAAAAAACAAAGAAAAGAAAGTTTTAGGGAAGAAAAAAGAAGAGAAGCAATAAACTGTAAAGGAGAGAAAGTAAAAGAGAAGATGAAAAAGACAAGACATCAGTGTAATTTGAAAAAGAAAAAAAGAAAAAAAAAGAAAAGAATTTATAATGAAAAAGAAGATAAATAACAAAGAGGAAGAGGAAGAAGAAAACTAGAAAACAACGAAAGAACGCAATTATTAGAAAAGGGTAGAAAAGACAACACAATAAAAAAGAAAAAGAATAGAGAAGAAATTGAGTGCTTTATCATAGCGTAATAGCAAGTCAGTCTAGCAAACCATGAAATTGTATAATGAATTTCATTCCCCACCCCAGACATAGTTAACCTTTATAAATACTGCAAGTCATATCACATCACCTCCAACTTTTATTAAAAAAAAAAGGAAAAAAGGCTTAGAAAATATTTCTCAGGTTTTATGTGTGAAGTTAAGGTATTTGGTAGGCTAAATGTTTACCTAGATACGACAAACTAGTACAATTTTTATGCAACCTAACTCTGATGTAACATCTGAAATTGTGACTTGTAAACCTCGTACAGCTCATTGACATTTAATATTCACTTTGTGGAAACATTTTGGTTGGGATTCATTTCTAATCATTGTTATGAATAGCAACAAAGTTGCAAACTTTATAATTAATTTATTATTATTTTTATTATTTTTCTCAGTCTAATTTTATGTTATTGAAATGTAAATTTGCATATTTTTATTTGCTGTTCCTGTTGTTCATTCCCATATTAAATACATACAAGATAGTTATAATGATCATCAGTCAAGATTTAAAAAAAAAAAATTGACATATTTTGTGATGACTGAAAAAAATACAAATTAATAGGAAAAAAAAATATTCATGAATAATAGATTTAATTGTATACACATATTTGTTAACATTTATGTAAAAGTTTTTTGCATAAAAAAAAAAAAAAAAAATATATATATATATATATATATATATATATAATTATTTATTTAAAAATATGATTCCATCGCTACATAAGAGTTTTCATGTTTCAAAACAAGAGCGAAAACTTCAATATAATTATTTAAATTAAATTGAGTTAAAATAAGCTCTGTTCCATCTTCAAAAAGCGAAATTTTTTTGAATAACGTATATCTGAAATTTACGTGTTTTAAAAATTGAAATCAAAATTTCCATGGTAACAGCTATGGCAAATTGTTTAAGTTGGGTAGGCGGGTGTTGGGTGTTAATAATAAGTATCAGTATAGAGTTGCTTTCGTAGATGTCAAGTCAGTGAAAGGTGGGGGTGTCTAAATTTGAAACAGAAGATGTATTAACCCTCGTCTAGTTTGCATGTCTATGGAGATTTATTTATTTTTTTATTTTATTTTTTATGAAAGGGATTTGTGCATATAAAAAAAAAACAAAACAAAATATATATTTTTTAAAAATAATAACTAAAATACTAAGGTACTTTGGATTATTTACCTAACCAGTTCCTTCCTATTTTCTATATATTTTCACACATATATATATATATATATATATATATATATAACAATATTATATATGCCTTTTATATTAAGCAAATTTGTCCCCACCCTGTTGTATGCCATTAAATATGGCTACTATGTAGAAGATAATCTACTATCTATATTTCTCATGTTGTATGTCTGTGTTTCTGTCATGGGCATTGTTACCTCCCCCAGGCCGCATTTCTCAATGCAGTTTTCACCATAAGTTTGCAAATGGCTGCCGTAAGGACATGACAGAGCTCGATTTTTGAGTTCGGAATCAGGTTCCGAAAAAAATCGATAATCGAAAAAATCTGCTTACAGAAGGAATGATCGCATTACAACCAAATTTGACACCCTCTTAGAGTCTACCATTAGAAGTGTTGTCCAGAAGTTTCATGACCACGGACCCCTAAACAGCACAGAAAATCGATAAAATCCCAAAACTGATACGCCCAGATTGCACCTGAACCGTATGTCGTTTTTTAGCTAAAACTGACCGGATTTATGACGAGGCCATTGGGAGTCACCACGTGAAGGAGCCATTTGAAGGGTTTGAAGTCCCAAGGACAAACGCTGTCTGTCATTGGTGTACACTTACAGGAGCAGTGCTTCTCAGACAGCCAACTTTACGTAGCTTGCTCTCGATTCGGCAGGCGCGAGGATGTGTTCCTTTATTCACCCTCGCAAAAAGCTGAAAATGTAGTCTACATTGAAGTCCTCAGCCAGTGATATGCAAACTCCATTCCATTTTTCCTTTTCATGCAAGAAAATTGCTGTATAAATCATACAATTTTTTAATCAAGCACGGGCAATGCCGGGCCATGCTGCTAGTTTATTATAAAGGAGAAGGACAAGTATATTGAAACAATAAAAGAAAATAAAAGTTTTAGAGGAAATGAAGAGGAGAGAGAGTGAGAAAGAAATTACAAATAAACTATAAAAAAAAAAAAGAAAATGAAAAGAAAAGAAAATATCAATAATATTCTAAGAGAAAAGTAAAAAATGGAATTTTCACAGAAAGCCAAAAGAAACTGTTCATATTTTTTTTTATTCTTTCCTCATTTTTATTTATTCATTCATTCACCATCACAGAAATTTCTTTCTTTTATTAAATTTTTTTTTCCTCTCTACCATTTTTTTATTTCTTTCTTTTTTCTTCTTACTCACTCTCTCCACAACTATTTCCTCCTACTTCTACTTCCTCTTTTCATATGCTTTTTTGCATTCATTATTTTCTCTTATTTTTCCTTCATTCTTCATTCAGTGTTTCTTCACTTTATCCCTCGTCTTTATAAATTTTTTCTCCCTTTCTTAACCTTTGATCTTTAACGCAATGGAGAGTGCAGTATGTTTTTCTCTAATTGCTTTCATTTTCTCTTAAACATGTTCTCTTCTTCCTCCACCTTCCTTTACAACATCACTATCACACTCTCACTCTCTCTCGTTTTTCTCTCATTACCTTTTTTTTTAAACTGCTTTTGATTTATTTCTCCTTATTCCTTCTACTACTACTACTACTACTACTCACACTCCTCCTCTTCAACTGCTGGCTTCTTTATTTTCACCTTCTCTTCAGCTATTTTTTCAATCCCCAATCTTCTATAAACAAGTTTGTTTTTATTTTCCATCTTCTTGTCCTTTCAGGACGTGGGTGATCATAGCTCTCCACAACCTCCTGTCTTTTATAGCTTTCAATAAAATTTGTCTTTTTGCTATTTCTTCCACTCACTGTCCTGCAAACCATTTACACAAGCTCGTTAGGTAGGTTATGTGCTGCTTTCCTCTGTCCCTCTGTGTCCTTGAGTGTCAAATTTTCTAAGCTCTCATTAGATGCCCTAGAAATTTCAACCATCTCTTTCTGATTCTAAGTAACTTTTTTTGCTCCCATATTATATTTGATAGCATCTGACCAATTTTTTTCTACATCAAAAACAGTGACCCCCCCCCCCCCAAACTCCCCCTACATCCTAGCTGTGAGAAGTATAGAGCTGAAGCAGAATTTAAAAAAATGGGACAGAGTGTCAACTGGGTTACCTATCATCTGGTTCGTACTCCTCTTTGGTCTTTTGAACAGGAGTAGAGGTTTATTCCTTGTTTAGGATTGGGTTTCTAGTTCCTTCTAAATTCTACTTCAACTCTATACTTCTAACATCTCCACTTAAACTGAAATTCATACAATGTAACCCGGATATAAGAGAAACCTGGATATAAGAGAGATTTTCTCTGGTCCCAAATTAGAGCCTGTGTTAATGTATATAAAATAGACCAAACCCGGATATAAGAGACTTCTTCTCCGGTCCCGACAACTCTCTTATATCCGGGTTACACTGTACAATTATTGGGTTTCTAGTTTAAAGTCTTTTTTTTTTTCTTGTTTACTTCCTTGTGTGTTAGTGGCATTATTGCTTTGCTTGGGGTAAATCAATTTTAAAAAAAGAAAACAAAGTTAAGGTTAAATGCTTACTTGTCAATATACTAGAAATATTTTCTTAATCTTTCCCTCCTGAAAGACTAAGTAGGAGAGTGGCTTAAATGCTATAAAATAGGGTAGTTTCTCTTTGAAATTCTATAATGTGTCATTGCTATTATTACTTTTATATTCTGTGCTAATAGAAAAATAAGGTGGATAAAATAAGTTACAGTTTATTGTAAAAAAAAACAGTACAATAAGAATAAAGGTAACAATTATGCACAAGGTCGTCACAAGTCAATCCAGTAGTGAGTGCTACTACTGGAAGGTCGGTAGTTCTCACGTAAGTCTGAGTTGTACTCAACAGATCCCAGCTAGTATATTTAGCTACCCCCCATGAGGGTTGCATGTGGCACAAGGCCGGTTTAACGTGGGTTCTCTGAGCCCATAGGATCAGCCAAAAATATTCCCTTTTGAATCCGTATAAACAGGTTCAGGAGCAGTCTACCTTCCCAAATGAGAGACTGCCCTTTGGTGGAGCCTCGTCCAGGTTCCTCTCTGCTCAAAGGCAGAGAGTTTGACTGTTTAGCTGGAACAGGTTGCAGCTAGTCTCTGTAGTCCATTGACTTACAGATACTTATAAGTAGTTACTACCTATAGTGTAGTCACTCATGTGGGTGACAGGTTATTCTATTACATCAATTACAAAAGTTCTTCTAACCAATATCCTCATACTTCTTGTTTGTATCAATCATTTTTTTTTGTTGCTTTTGTCATTATTTTAACTTTACTCCTCATAAAAAAAATACAGAGATCCCCAGTTATTTAAAGCCTATTATTTTTTTTTAATACTAATGTTCACCCAATACAAGGGCCAAGGTAGACAGCTTTTGTATGAACATAAGAGAAGGCAAGAAGTGTGGATTATGAGGTTATGTAGGAAAGATAAGGATTAATCCTAGATTTAAAGAGATCAAGATTATAGTGATCAATAAAAGATCCTGCCAGGAGTCTGTTCCATAAAACAATAGCTCTTGAGAAGAAGCTGTTAGAGTGGAACTTCCTCCTCACCAATGGAATATGAAGGGATGATTCATCCTCATGTATGTGGCATGTCAGGTCCTAGCTACAAAGGTCAGGGATGGTGGAACTAAGGAATGTATCTCGTTAGAACATTTGTTATGGAAATAGTGATAGAGTAGCAAGAGGTTTGCGACGTTTTATCTGTGAAAAGCGGGTTGGAGGGTGATTATCTTCATAATTCATACATAAGACCACAATGTGAACTCAATATTAAGAAAATATTTGTGGTCATTAGAATAAAAACATTAAAAAAAAAAAAAAAAAAGGTATTTGGGTCTTCTATAGTTGAGAAAAGGACATTGTCAGATTTTATTGCATGTACTGGAATCAAGCAAAAACAGAAATTTAACTCTCTGAATAGTACAGTAACAGACAGGGTTAGTGTGGGCTAACATACCAAGCTCAATTGAGGGCCCTTTCTGACCCTTGCTATCTTATCAACATTTGCTTTTTTCTACCTACCTACATACATATATGCATTATAAATTAACTAAGCACAACTATTAAAGAATGAAAAATTTTTGCAGATTTTGATGTAATTCTGTTTTTTTTTTTTTTTTTTTTGGTCCAAATCTGTGAATTTGCTTTGCTCATGTTAAGTTTTGGAAAAAAAATATATATATATATATATATATATATATATAAGTTCACTATATTTAACTATAATTTTGAATGTGTTAAAATTACTCAACTTTTTAGCAAGAAAAATCTCAAGTTGATGTTAAAAATTACAAAACATTGTTGCTTTATTTATGATGGAAGAATTGAAAATAAATACAAATTAGAGATGTCATAATTTGTATTTATTTTCAGTTTCTCTGGTTGAATTGTAAATCTACATTGCATGTGATCCATTGTTGTACACAATTAGATTACAATCTTTCCCACTTCCTTTCTTCTTTGCTGTAAGTTTTTTAACACTAAGTAAAACTTAAGATTTAATATTAGGTGTAAAAGAAAGAAAATTACAATGGAGGATATACCAATTAAAAAAAAAATATCAATAAATGACAAAACTTCAAAGAAATTTGAAGCAAATATTTACACAGGATGCATGGTAAACAAAGTGATTTACAGGGTATCTTCACTGTATACCCTGCTCTTATATCTTTGTTTCTTAGGTGTAAAAGCAAGAGAAATAAAATTAAAGAAATACCATTAAAAACTTAACAATATTTGACAATGCTTGATCTAATAAATTCACACACCTTAAATCTATTACTGTTGCTATTAATCCTATATCCCTTGAAAATTTAACTACAAGTTGTAAAAGCAAGTGAAGATGAATGAAATACGAGTCCAAAGTTGATAATGATTGACAATGCTTCATTGAAGAACCAGAGACAACTTAAGACTATTGCTGATTGGTGCAAACACAAGAAAAAGAAATACTAGTCCAAAATTAATAATGATTGACAAAAGAGATTTAGTGACTATTAAAAGTTATTTAATGTTCATTGTGGACCTTGCTCCTGTGGTCTTTTTTTTTTTACTACAATTTATATCTTGGTGGAGATTAGAGAATAAAACATTATAACTGAATGGCTTATTTGAGTGACATCTACCACCGAAGCTTTTGTAGCCTAACCTGTAAAGAATCGTTGTAGTAAGACATGCTCCCAAGAAGAAAGCATATTATTTTGGATTATAGAATAATAATCTGGGGACTGTGATGTAAAAGAAAAAAAAGAAATATCAAAAAATAAGAATTTTTATAACTGTTTTACAAGGAGAAGGTCTCTCATTCCATTTTCTATCTAAATATTTTTATTTGCCAAAATAATTAAAGATTGCCATGGCAAAATGAAAACTTTCCAAATTGCAAACAATAATTACAATTTAAAACAAGAGTAGTAACATTATCAATTAGAGTATAATACATAATTCAAAATTTAAATTCAGAATTTTGAAAAATGTTTTTTAAGCTTATTTGACAAGTCCAGCACCAAGGAATTTAAATTAAGCATTTTTATTAAGTGCCAAAAACATTAAGTAATATTCTCTTTTTGAAATTCACACCTTTTAATTCCCCCCACCCACTGCACATCATTGATGTCAATAATAACTGCCTCCAAGCAATGCTATTTAGCT